GTGTTAGCCTTTCTCTCAGCATCTCTACAGCTTTCCTGATGGTGCACATTGTTACAGCTAAACAAAGTAAGTGATGCAAAGTCACACTTCTGTCCATGTCAACATCTGGCAAGTGAGCTAGGGCTACTGCGATTTTCATTCCATGGGCTCATCTCTGCAGAGCCCTCTCTCTATTAACCTCCGACTGAGTACATCCCACAGACACTTGGGCCCTGAAGTAGCTGCACACAGTAAAGGAGTGGGCTGGGCACTGCAACCTGCCAACAGAGGCCCAACACACCAGGCCCTTAGGAGTTAGAAATAAATCATTGCCTGGATAGGAGCAGCTCGTATGCAGCTGGAAGAATCAGGAAGACCCTGTAGTAAAAGGAATCTGAGTTGAATCATAACAGATGCCCATATCCAGACACAGGAAAGTGGAAAGCAGCATTACCAGCCAACAAAACAAGATGTCTAAAGTGCCCCACAAGAAGCCACTGGGAGAGTGCCTGAGAGCAGGCCAGACCATGGGGCACAGGAAAAATGTGAGAGGGTTCCTCAGGGAGGACCAGCTTAGTGGGCTGCAGGGGTAAGAGCCAGACAGGAAGAAGTCCTAGAGAATAACCTCCACGGGATAGGACACACATCAGCAAACACAGCACTGACAATGGTTGCAGTAGTCCACAGTGAAGAGAAAAACAGTATGCAGGGGTCATACTAAGAGAGCACTGCTGTCCCTCTGACATGTACATAACAAGCACATTTAACTGGCACCCATTGGGAACACAGGTCAATAACAGCAGGGCAGGGCAAAGCTCCAGCCACCTGTGTGACCCCTGAAGCCATCATTGCCCCTGAAATTCTGGGGGAGCCACTGGAGTCCATGTCAAACCACTGCTGTATGGTTTCAGTGGAGTTGTGTGTGGCCACTGCTTGGCCTGTGGGCTGCTCAAACACCAGGTGTATCCTGAGGGGGTGGCAGGGAGGAATATGAGGACTCCAGCAGGCCTCACCCCTTGGCAGGTCTCTCTCATTTGGCAAAAGGTCCTGGCTCGAGGATTAATGTATAGGATAGGTTGAGAAGCTTGACTTGCTGCACTTTTTAGCTTGAGAATGCAAAGAATTCATCCTCTTTTCCTAGTAACCAGATCACCCTGACTTACTCAGTGCTGTGACCATTGTTCTCAGGAAGCCTGCCTCTGAATGCACATCCTGACCACTGGCTTTTTTCTTCTGAATTTGACATAATAAATCTATTTGTTTGCTTACATTTCTTTCTAACCTTACTCATTAAAGATTTAAATCACTTAAAAACATATAATATTAAATCAGAATTAGGAAAATTACACTAACAGAAATGCAGGACCAGAGGAAAATAGCATGCCAGGTCATGGCCCTAAAGAGTCTGTAAAGCTGCCAGACTTGGCACCCGTCACACAGATCAGCGACAGAGGCTCAGGGAGACTGAGGGAGGTCGGCATGCAGGTTGTCCAAAGAGAAATAGGATATGGCAACTGCTCAAAGCATTTCCTAATACACACGTCTGAAGAAAATCTCTCACCTGTTTTCCTCCAGGGGACCCACACACACAGCTAAGGGTCTGGAAGCCACTGAATCAGTGGCTGGCTCCCCAAGTCCTACCTTCCCTGCATACCCTGTATTCTGAGTGCAGTGAGCACCCTCATACCTGTTAGCTCCCTGACACACACTGAGAACACAAGTCACATGCTTCTGAGAAGCAGAACTGTACGTATGTTAACATCACTGCAAGATCAAACAAGTGGTTTTTAAAACTTTATCAGAAAGAAAAAGAGGGAAAACCTAGTAATTTGAGCATTTGAAACCATAATGATGAACAGAAAAAGTGAAACTAAATGTTATTTAGAAAAAGCTAAATTTAAATTATTACTTATTTCAGAATAAGAGTATCCAATGACACAAAATATGACACTCATCTGTCACTTCTTTATATTTAAATAACAGTGCCTTCCTTAAGGAACATTATTCTATTGATGTCAGGTTTTTTCCCATAGAAATGTTCATGTCCTTAGTACTTTATGTGCAAAAGATTTATGAACATCAAATGATACATCATTTGTATCATTTGACATTTCATTAAATCATTACATAGAAAATATTTAAAGTCCTTTACTTTTCTAGAAATTTCTATTTTAAAATATTTTAATTAAAAATACACCTGTACCTGATAGTTACATGGGTATAATTTGCTGGGCAAAAGTCACCGAGCTATATGTTTAGGAATAATGTACTTTTCTAACATAATTTTATTGTAACGAAAAGTTTTTAAAAAATACTCATCTAAAAACATTAAAATATTTTCACTAAGTCTTAGTCCAAATAAAATGGAAAAATGTGTGTATGTGCACATGCAACGGACAGAACACTGCACATGAAAGTGTGCATCACACTAAAGCCACCTATAAAACCTCAGGAAAATACAGAATTTATTGCTATTCTGATGAATACAGGGTTTAAAACAATACTTAGACTCAAGCTACAAAAGAACAAAACTGAACCTCAATTAAAAAGCATTACAATAGGAAACAAAGTGGAAAAGCTCCAATAACAGGAATTCTCTGTATGTTATATTGGAATCTGAACAATTTGCTTTATTCAAGACACATACAGCTCTCAAGGTGCTGTTGGTATTTTTCTCTCACATTACCTGGGTTCACACAGTGAGCGACCTTCCAACTAAAATTCTCTGAAAGCAAAAGCACTCTATCAGACCAAAAAAGTCTGAGTTGGAGGGTAACCATAAAGGCAGAGCTATTTTAAGTTATAAAGTAACACTATACACCAAGCTGATTGGGAACTTTATTGGTGTTGTGATCCTCAATTTAACTGTATTTGTATTTTACTGTATTGGAAACGGAACCAGCTTCATTATATTTTGGACTATAATTATCACTAATGGATTTTACCATAATAAGATCCCACCTGTATTTTGGATCATTTGCTCCAGCTGTTTCTTTTTGTCAGAGATGAAACACAGCTGCAAAAAACAACAGCTCTGATCACTTCTTTTGTTGGCAAGTAATTTTTGGAAGTTTGAGCTTTGCCATTAGGCTACAGGTCTCAGGTTAGCATTTCCCCAGGACCACTCCCTACTTTCAAACCACCCAGCTGTGCTTATCAGGGCCAGTATTTGGCAGCATGTCTAACTTCATACATTCACAGTGAGAAAGGTCACACCTTCACTGTCAGTTTCTACTGCTGGAACATTCCACAGCACATCATTTATGATCCTGAGCTTCATAAAAACAACTCTCAACATGACAATGCTCACATACACAAGTTAGTCCCAGCATATTCCAAAGTGTTAAGAAAGCCTCCACAAGATATTGGTTAGTTCTATAAACATATCATTCAGAAAATGATAATTCTCCAGGTTAAGTTCTATGGTAATGAACTACAACAGCAGGGCTGAGATGACTTTGGGACATAAAACAGGGCACTGTTAGCCTTCTCCTATGACTCTGATGCCAGGAATGCAGAATTAGGTTATTTCTAGGAAACTAAGCGCTGAAGCCATCCTGATGTGCTTTGACCATGAAATCATAATAATTTTCCAAGGCAGCAAAAACACCTATTTCCATTTTCGTACAACTATGACTTTTAAGATGACAAATGTATAAAAAAGGACTGGCTTTCAGAAGTCATTTTATAAAGCAACTACATTTTTACCAATTACATTTTACTATTACATTTTTACCTTGACTTGACACAGGCTCCATTTTATTTTTATTTTTTTGCATTTTTCTTTTTTTAAGATTTTATTTATTTATTTTTTAGAGAGGGGGAAGGGAGGGAGAAAGAGAGGGAGAAAAACATCAATGTGTGGTTGTCTCTCATGCAACCCCCACTGGGGACCTGGCCTGCAACCCAGGCATGTGCCCTGACTGGGAATAGAACCAGCAACCCTTTGGTTTGCAGACCCATGCCCAAACCACTGAGCCGTAACTAGCTAGGGCTGTTTTTGTTTTTCAATTACAGTTTACTTTTGATATTATTTTATATTGGTTTTTGGTATACAGCATAGTGGTTACTATGCTGTATACCGAAAGTATACAATCATATACTTTACAAAGTGTCCCTACCCCCAATATTTCCAGGACTCACCTGGTATCATACATAGTTATTAAAAGTTACTGACTATATTCCTTATGCTTTACTTCCCATCCTTGTGACTATTTTGTAGTTACCAGTAAAAATATGGAATACTTCACCAGTTTGTATGTCATCCTTGCGCAGGGGACGTATTAATCTACTATGTTTCATTTCAATTTTAGAATATGTACTGCCAAGGTGAGAACTGCTTCTATTTTATATGGCTCTGACCCTCAACCTGGATTTTATTTGCTTTTATAAACTGCTACAGGATCATAAAGGTACAGCTCTAAGTTGTATATTTATGCATAAGTGCCACCTCTGTTAATGTGTCCTTATTCTTAAGCAAATGAGAAATCAGCCTGTGTTGCCACCATTTCCAAGATTTTTCTAGTCTTTCTGTTCCTTACTATTCGAAGTTAGATGTAACATAGTTATAGTACATCTCCCATAACAGCACATTGAATAATTTTTAAATATGAAAAAACAGTCAAGGAATTGCCAATTTGTGTTAATCAACCTTCCCTGTAACTAAGTAAAAATGCACAAACCAAAAATAAGATAGGGGAAACCAGTCTCTTCCCCATAACATCTTAGAATAAGCCCAACTAAATCCCACAGAAAGGGCTCTATGTGAGAGCCCTGCTCAAGAACAGACCAGGATATACACATGGCCCAATTCAGAAGCATTCAGAAACTTCTGGATCTTGCCTGAATAGGAAAAGTAGCTAAAAAGACCCTTTTAGAGAGAAAATGGAGGTTGGTTTAATGATCCATCTAAAGGGCCCTGGGTTTCTAACCTAGAGACCCTTCTCTGAGTAGTAATCCCAATCAAAGCACCTCCACGGGGACTCTTTCCTGCAATGGCCATGGGGGCCCTGGGAGCCCACCTGGTCACAGCCCGCGTTCACCAGCTCCTGCAGCATCTGTCGGTTCACTTCTGTAGCAGCTGGGGGCCCTGATTCATTGGCAAAGGGCAGCAAGGAGTACCGGATCTCCCTCAACGCTTTTTGGTAGGGGCCGAACTTTGGGGCAGCTCTTGACTGCTGCTGCCGGGCAACATCCTTGCCCCCCAGGACCTTGGTATCCAAGGAAGTGTCACTTGGTCCTACAGGTGGCCCCTGAGTGGAAGACTTGGGGGGCTGCTTCAGCCCCTCTCGAATCTCCTGCAGTCGCTGCCGGCTGTTTCCAGAGTAAGTTGTGGCAGGAAAAGTCTTTGGCCTCATTGTTAGTCCAGTTTCCTCTTACCATAAATACAATCTTCTTAAAGAGTTTTATTTGTAAAAACTGTGAGCAGATATCAGTTAGTTGTAAACATAGTTTCAAAATAATTTCCTTTTAAACATTTTCTTTCCTTTAATTTCTATAGAGAACCCAAAAGTTTCCAGAGCCTTCATTTTGATGAGAAACACCATCTGAAAAAGAAGATAGAAAGGCAATCAATGTTCATTTGTAGTTTTCACATAATGTTAATAATACTTATCAGAAACGGGCATTGATCTTGAAAATATTCCATCTGGAAAGATTAAGAAAGAACACATCATCTCTCAGAAATGACAAAAAACGGTTTCGACTCCAGTTAGAGTACATGACATTCAGGGTTGTCCCAAAATGTTTCCTGGACTATGTAATCTGCAGTAAAGCCAACCTCCACAAGCTGATACTAATAAATATTCAACTCAAGGCAAGAACAATAGTATTAACAATTGATGGCTCATTTAAGATACTTTATTATAATATAATTTCATTTGAAATCCACAGCTTGAGTATTGGGGTTTAACTTTCTTACATGGGGTCTTGGATTTCTGGCTTGTTCCTAATAAGCTATCAACTCCTGGTCTATACTGTTGTCCTTTATTCTGGGGCTTCACCAACCTCTCAACTTGAAGCTGTGGTCCCTCCCTCTCTTTGGAAATTTTCCTCTCCCAAATTTCCTGAAAGACACCACAAAACTTATCACACTGAAGGTGCCTTTATTACAATTCAAAGTAGTTCCAGCACAACATATCAGGAGACTTTCAAGGTAACTACTTCCTTGATTGTTTATAAATTTGTCAACTTATCAGCATTTTTATCTAAATACTAAAATAAAAATCTTTCATGTGGAAATTGATACCTACATGGAAGGAGACTGGTAAAGGCATGTAGGTGATTTCTTAGAGTGCTTTCTGACCACACTAAGAACAAATTAAAGTTGTAAGCACAGATCAGCAATGACTTCAGCATTTTCCAACAGCAACTATACCTACTATAGGCCTAAGTCACTGGATACTACTGTTCTTGCATTCAGAAAATAAAATCAAGACCAACCCCCGACACTGCCCTTAGCAGCCAGAGCAAAGTATCTAGCTCAGGTCACTTATCTGGGTGACCTAGGGCAAGTCATTTCACCTCCCAAACCCTTCCTCTGGGAACAGATGACAACACTTGATAACAAGAGGTGGCGAGCACTGATCGTCTCAGCAGTCCTTAGGATGCAGTTATTCTCACTTATGCAATTAGCTGCCACAACCCCAAAACTGGGGCCCACAGGTGGTGAAGGCAAAACCCTGCATGCCCTCCAGGCTCAAATGAACACTGATCCAGAAAAGAGCATTCTTTAAAAGGAAAGGATGAAGGGGGCTGGACTTTGTCTCAGTAAGGAATGTTATAACTATGAAATAAAACTGCTTCACAGACTTTCTCATGTGGGGAAAAAAAATCAGGATAGCTAGTATTTACCCATTATTTACTATGTGCCAGGCTTGTTCTAAGAGTTTTATGTGAATTAACATATATAGATCTATTTCATAATCATATACAACAGTAAACCCAGAGAGATGATGATGAAACCACTATTCCTTTCTCAAAAGTGGGAGGATGGAGGGTCATAACCATCTCCTTTCTTAATGTAGCTAAGAGAAAACTGACTACACTTAGAAAAAATACCAGACTAAATAATTTTTTCAACATGAAGCCTATATTTAGTGCACAAAATCTACTACATTCAAGTCACTGGAAAGACTGTTGTAAGGTTCTGCAGATAATGAACCACAGATCTGTAGCTGAGTTCCCTGGGATCTATGTTGATCATGGACCAAGCCTAGAGCTCTGCTTAATTGGTGTAAAATGGGGCACACTGCAACCACACTCATATTCAGTGACTTTCTGGTCTAAGCATCTGCTGTGAAATATCTCACTTTCTGAAATCCAAGTTCACATTCCACAAAGAGGCTCTGGGAGCTGCCAGCAGTATAGAGATTACTGAGTAATGGTATTTGAGTACTGAGGCTTCTCCTAGGGGAGTTCACATAAACCACTTGTATCCGATCTTGTTTTCTTCCCTTTCTTTGAAAACTAAAACAGAGAAGAGATAAATAATACTATCTCCACAATAAAACAATCAATGCAAAGGAGGGGACTGATACTAAGCAAGTGTATTCATACCCTCCCCCCTCACCACCATCCACTGACCTATCCCACCCACACCCTATTTACACTTACCAAATGCTTAAATCTCTGGAGCTGCTGGGATAAATAAGAACAAAATCCTGCCTTCAGCAAGTTTACAGTCAAGTAAGAGGTAAGGGTGTGGTGGGCAAACAAAGAGCTTCAAAGAAAAAGAAATGTCCACAAGGAGAAAAAAAATCATCTGACTGTTGGGAGAATAAAGGACAAAGTCACAAAATGCTTTGAAGCAGAGGTAACCAAATCTGAGGGTACTGAAGAATGGATATCCAGCCATAAGAACAGCACTGACAACTGAGCAAAGGAATGTAAAAGCTGCAGGCACCACCCACCCACCCACCACACTTAGATCTAGGGGCTGGAGGTTCTTCTGGAAGAGCACAGGGCTCAGTGCAGAAGACCGGGAACCACTGTCTGCAGTTCAGCTCAAGACTGATATGGCCAGAAGTACCCTTTTGGCAGCCTCGTCTGGTAGCCAGCAGGAAGGTGGCTAGAAGGGAAAAACACAGCACTACGGGTAGATGATGAAACCTGGGTAAGTATCAGCAACCTCACAGAGCAAAGGGGGTCAGATTCAGGAGCTAGTTAAACCATGGCCCACTGTCTGGGCTTAAAGACAGATGGGGAGCCACCAGCACATGGGACATTTACCCAGAGAGTGACGTGCCTACATAGCCATGAAATGGAACTGTTAGGTGAGAGAGGGAGAGCAGCAGTCAGTGATCATCAAGTGATACCAGCAGATTAAAGAGAAGCTAAGAAAGGGCAAGAGCCACAAGAAATGGCCCAAGTCAAATAAAAAAGAGCTATGAAGAAATCAGAGCCAGGACCTGGGACAACCCAGCTACCTGGCCTCACCAGCAGACACAAGGGAGTCAGGGACAGCAAAGGAAGGAGGCCCCAGCTGAATCTGAGGCTTAAACGTTCTCCCTGGAATTCACTCCAAAAAGGAGCTACTGAAAACAGGGACAGCAGTGAGGCTTTTGGAGGAGATGAGAGTAGTGTATTAAGTGTACAAAACATAAGATGGACAAGTGTTCACGAAGAGCACCCTCTAACAAAGAGATGGATCAAGGAGTCCATCAGTACAACCTGAGGCCCCCACAGCCACAGACTAATGCCTCCAGGAACCACCTTCACAACTTCTAACACCTAGGGTTAGTTTGACCAGTTTTTGAACTTTATATCCATGGACTTACATGTTCTGAACTCTGTGTCTGGCTGATTTTGTTCAATACTATGTTTGGTTATTTATACATGTGGTATGCGGCAATAGTTTGCTATTTTTCATTGCTGAGTAATATTCCATATCACAACTATACCATACTTAATCCATTCTGCCACAGAAGGACATTTGGGTTGTTCCTGGTCTGGGGCTACTGGAAACTGTGCTGCTGCCTTAAGGCTGATGCCCACATGGCTCCAGCCCCAGGGCTATGAGGAGTTGAGAAGTTAGTGATCAGCTCCAAAATCATATCAAATACTTTCTGTGTAGCTATAGGCAGAGCCCCTAATAGTTCATGTGATACCTTTGCAGGATTATAAAAAGGTACTCCTTCCTCAAGTAAACTGTTTTGCTACCATATTATTGTATACTATGAGCAGCTCTTGCCCTGAGGAGCCTTCCAGAGCCCTGTAGGCAGCAGACTGGCCCACTCTGAGACATAGCCTGACACCACATATCACATCCCATCACACACACACACACACACACACACACACACACACACACACCAGGTGAAGGAGAGTAGGAACTAGACCTCTGAGTCACAGGAGAAAAAGTAATGGCCTTAGTACAGTCACACAGGAAGAGTGTGATCACATGTGTTCTCTAAAACGTGTGTATGACACATGTGCCATTGACTCTACTGCTGTAGAGTCAGGTCTTTTGCAAGTGGACCAGAGTCTCCAAATGGGCTGACCATGCCCTCAGATAAGTATCTGTGTGATATGAAGCATGCCCTTTTACGTGCGAGGCCCTTGAGTAGTACACAATGTAAACACCCATACAAGGTGGCCCTGTTAACTAGGTCTTAGGGATACAGAAAATAATGACCAGCTTCTGACTTTAAAGAGCTCACAGTTCAAGATGGGAAAGTTAGACATATAAATCAATTATTTAAATATAGTATAATACAAATGACAATAAAATTTTGCCAAAAGTATTATGGGGTCTGATGTAGTAGATGGAGGGTAGAGAGAAGTAGGCAATTCAGTCATGCTTAAGGGGTGAAACCCACAGAAGCTGGTGGTGTTCACTCATTAGAGACAGGCTTGAAGGATGAAGTCCAAGTTTCTGGTTTAGAAACCAGAGCTGATGGTGGTGCCTTCTCTGACCTAGATGACCAGGGACTTTCAAGATAGCAACCAGACTGTGGATGAAGGAGGGCAGCTGTTGGGAGGTGAGGACAAGGCTGGGGGAGGCCAATTCAGAAGATGGCCATTTCGCTTTAAAAATGAAAAAGCAGCTGAGGGTTAGGAGCCTGGCTTCTGCCCAGCTCTAGCATTGCACCTCTCTGAGCTTCAGTTTCCTACTCACTGACAAGCCTTTCTCTGTCTAGTTGACAGGGCTGCTCTGAGGATCACAGGTGACAATGCAACTGAGATCAAGCTCATCTGTAATGCATAATACACTGGCCAATGATTGGAATTCCTAGTAAGTTCAGGACTCAGAATCAGACAAAAAGGCTTTTAATCGAGTCAGGAGATAAGACCAGGGCAAAATGCAAACAGGCTTAGTGGAAAAGGTACCAAAGTCAATGTAGAAACAGAGGTATTTCACGGTCACTCCAAGTGTCTCCTCTTTAAATAAGTAAACCATAACAATGCTTAAGACGTTAAAGATTTGCCCTAGCGGGTGTGGCTCAGTTAGTTGGAGCATCATACTGTAAATGAAAGGCCATGGGTTCAATTCCCAGTCAAGGCACTTGCCTGGGTTGCAGGTTCGGTTCCTCCAGGGGTGCACGTG